GTTCTGGCCTTCTTGCTCTTGAAGTTGATCTATCAGCTCATCAGAGGTTAGTTTTCATTGTCCTCGCCTCATCAACTCTTCCCACATTCCTCCACTAAAACACCCCCAACCACAAGGACTTTCCATGCCACAATGGATTCCTCAAGCTGGCACAGGATTCTCAGGGTTGCCCTCAAACCTTCAAAAATCCCTTTTGTTACACATTCTGGCCACAGTTTTCTCCAAGCAGAGTTCAGGTCCTCTGGTCAATTCCTCCAAGCCTTACCTATAGGTTTACACAATTGAGTGTATTAAAGTGATCTCTCCAAAAACTCTCTTAGAGTCAGTTGTTGAGTTTCTGAGTCATTACAAAGCACCTTTCAAACAGAGCTTTTGTGATACAGTTTCTTGATGTTGGAAATTAACCTGCTGGTCCATGGGCTGGCAGGACGTAGGAGTGGTATAGGAGGCAAAAACTTAACATTAATGAAGCCTCATTTGTCACCATAACGTCGACTCTGCCACGTCTGTAGGATGACCAGGGCATGTCTAACACCAGGAGGCACTTAAGTTTTCTAATTCTTGCAGTTAGTAATTTTTACATTGGAGGGCAAATGCTATGGTGTAACCAGGTTATAGAAATAATTCCCTTGGGACCAATGCCTTACTGTTTGCCCTCCACAGCACCAAAAATTATCATATGAGGACATTATTTTGCCTGAAGCTCTGGGAGTTTCAGAGATGTACAATAATAAAGGCTTCCACTGTTGCAATCACAGTAGCATTGGCACACAATCAACAAGTAAGCCTGGTCTTTCATAGGCTTTTGTCTGGGAGTGCCTTTTACTCCTGAGTAATGTAGGTCTCTGCTGGCATTTTCTTCCAGAAACAGGCCCTGTATTCATCACAATTAAACACTTGTTCAGTTTCAGTCCTTCAAGTTTCTAAGTACTCACTTGAATTCCTGCAATATTTTTCAGCCGCTTTTGTGGTCCGAACTTGGCAGCAGCCTCACCATGCCTTATCACACTATGAGCACTACGCTTCTAAATCTCTCATAAACCAACCTTTGTGGCTTAAATTCACTCAACATCATCTACTAGTTGCAGGATTTTTTGAATTAAAATCTCATGCACTTCCTAGCCTTTTCACATGATGATCGCTTGAGAGACGCTATCGCCTGTATCTGTTTTCATTTAATCCACACCAATAAGGAGTCTCTCAACTTACTTCCAATCAATTGCGATCTTTGTTTCGAAACACAGTTGAACCTTGGACAGAACAGCTTCCTTGACTTGTCTTTCTGGTGCCACAATAGTAGCGATGGTTGATGCGGGGTTTCTTGTACAGCTTGACTAGGTCGCTATACGAACTCCGACTTATCATACTTTCAATTATCTCTGTGTCCTTCATCTCTATAGTAATCTTACACTTTGAGGTTGTAGGGTTGGCACAATAGAAGCTTCTTGGGAACAATGGTCACTTATTTTCCAGAAAACAGAACCGATATATACCTTTAATAATACTGGATAAATTATTCCGTGTGTATGCTTGGATGTTACCGCGGAGGCTGGCTGGTAAACAATGGGCGGAAGCCGGCACATGTGAGGCTGGCTGAGGGAACATTGGACGCAGTCTCGGGACGAAGAAACGGTATGCGGGTTGTTAATGGTCATGCGCTCGGCCAAAAATTTTGCAATAAAAGTAATCGTTATGCGGTGAAAAAAAATCGCTATGCGATGCCATCGTTATGCGAGGAGGTCCTACTGTATAAATAATAATAAATAACAGTAAAAGCGATGAATTTCAAAAGGCTGCAGTAGTTGGCGCCATCCCATCAACAAAACACATGGTAACCGCTATGCTTAACTGTCGAGACGTAATAGTCTATAAGTATTAGGTTAAGTCTGAGTGAAATGTCTCGGAATGTCCAATGCTTATGATACGTAAAAACACACAATTGTAAACACTTGCAAAGAAATAAAGATTTTATTTTTATCTATTTATTTATATAAGCAACTTCCTTGAGGGGGGAAGGGACGCAGTGAAATTATATCGTTCATATCCAAAAGAAAAAAAAGCGACGCCACCTCCTTATCCCACGAACGACGGTTCGTACTCCTCTTGAAAGTTCGCCAGGGTTGGTGCGTTCGAAAGATGAGGTTCACAGTATAATAGTTCTTTATTTATTCAGACTTCTAAATAAATATTTTTAAGGTAAGTACTTGTGGACCCCGGGATAAACAATCAGTCTCCAACTCGACCAATTTGTAAGTGTATTTTTGTAAATTTCTTTTGTAGGTGTTATTTTAAGGGGTCTGAAATGGGACTAATCTAATATCACAATATTTCTTATGGACAAATAATCGTTCTATACGGCCCCAAACAGACTCTGGATTGAAATATATCGTTATGCGGGGAAGGTCCACTGTATTGTGTGTACTGTACAACCTTCCTCACTTAATGACGGAGTTCCGTTTCACTAATGACAACATCGTTTTAAACGAATGTGTCGCCTACACTAGTGAGGGAGCATACTATAA